GATAAGCTTGTTGGTTACACTGGTGATGCGGGCCTCTAGGGCCAGGAAATGAATCTACGTATAAGCTGACCTTCTTAGCCATGCGGTCCGGCCCAAGAGCCACACTGGATGGACACTGCCATATGGCAGTACACCTTCCAGAAGCTAAGCCAGTGGGTCCTGTGCCCTCTGTCCCCCCACCCCCCCCGCCACCCTCCGGGCTGTCTCAGATTCTAAGACACAGCCCAGCCCAGGGAGCAGCCTCTCCCCATTGTTTCACATGGGTTGGCAATAACTCTGTTATCGTTAAGAAAAGTAGCATTTACTGGGCATGTACACATCATGGTAGTGATAATGGCAATACCTAAGTTCATTAAGTTTTTACTTTTATTGAGTGCCAGGAATCATGATGAGTACTTGGCATACTGTCTAATGAAACTTGGCAATGATTCTGTAAAGAAGTTCTTTTTATTACTCCCATTTCACAGATGGAGAAACGGAGGTGAAGAGAGGTTAGGGGACTTGCCCTAGAACACACAAGGTACAAAGTGGCAAAGCCAGGATTTGTGCCGTGTCTGGGTAACTGGAAAGCAAAGCCGTCACCCGATTCTTCTCATGGTAGTGTGGGGAGAAGTGGGCAGGGCTTGCTCTGTGGGTTTCTCCCTGCCCTTCGGAGCCCTTCCCGCCGCTTTTTAACATCTGCCCCTCCTCCAGGCATCAAGGACTGGCTAGCTTTCTGTAAAGGGCCAGGCAGTAGCTCTTTTAGGCTTGTGGGTATAAGGTCTCTGGAACAGGTACTCTGCTTTGTCCTTGTAGTGCAGAAGCTGCCATAGACAATATATGAATGAATGGGTGTGGCTGTGTTCCAATAAAACTTTATTTAGAAAAACAAGCATGAGGTGGGGTTTGGCCCCCATAGACCAAACTATATAGCTTGCTGGTCCCTGGCCTAGGCCATGAGACATTTCTGCTAGGAACGAGGATGATCTGATAGGAGGTAATGTGTTTACCATCCCAGATATACTTAGATTATAAAAGACCATCACTGGGAACAGGCAATACCTAGCCTCCAGGGGCGTTTCTATCTGTGTGGGCAAAGGGTAGTTGCTCTCTGACTCTGTCCCTCAAATCACACTCTAAGAGTGACTGCCTGGCAAGCCTGTGTCTTTGCTTTCGGACAGAGAGGATTCACTAACTAGTACGAATCTGACATGTGTGCATGCTGACCTAGTTTGAAAAGGAAAGACTTCATTAGTTTCAGGTAGAAACACAGGGTGACGTGTTGTGTGTCCCTGGGGAAGTCAGTTCCCTTCTGGGCTTCCCTTTCCTCACATATAAGATGGGGATGAGTCTGCTTTGAAAACCACAGGGTCCTGTGCGACCTTGAGCAGTCATTCCCATGGTCAGCATTGCTACCTTGCCACGTGCTCTCTTGGAAACAACATCGTGAATCGTGAGGACAATATTTTCCATGCTTTGTTCTGTTCCTGTTGGTCTGCAACCCTGTGAAGCAGAACAGGCAGCAGTGTGGTCTAAACAAGGTACAGTAAGGGCAGAGAGCCGGTGAGGTGCAATCAATCAGTCACCTGCTCAGAAACCATCAAGGGCTCCCCATTGTCTAGACTATGTCGGTAGACTAAAGCTCAGATGGCTTCAAGATTCTCCTCATCCTGGCTCTTTCCCATTTCTTTCCCCGTGAAATTCCTTTTCTCCAACTCTGGCAGTCCGTGAATGTTCTTGGATGTTCTCACTTATGTGCCTTCATTCCTATTGCTTCCTTCCTCTGAAATGTCCTCCACAGCCTGTTTCTGATTCCCAGAGAGCTCTCCTCCCTGCTGATGGCTTGCATTTCCACCACTGTGGACTCCTGTCTCTCGATGGTTAGGATATTGCCAAATTTTTAAAAGTCTAATTGTGCCCTTAACCTTTGGCAACCTGACAGGAGCAGGTTCAGCTTAGAGAGGGTCATCCATCCCCCAGGGAGCCAAGCCAGGCCCATCGTTCATATCTCTGGCCACCAGGTGGGGGCAGAGGCGCTGGCCCTGGTCCTAATTCCTCCCACCCGGGCTGGCCACGGGGAGGTAGGAAATCTCCACGTGGTGACTTGGGAATTCATTAACTGTTTGCTTTTTTGTTGTTGATGTTTCTGTATGCTTTTTTTTTTAATAGGATAAATAAGTTAAATGATTCAAATGTAAAGCCAGGCAAACAGCTTAAGAGAAAAGATACAGTTGTAACTATATACAGTTAAGTAAAAGGTGGCGCCTCCCTGTGCACGTGCGAGCTTCATTCCTGCTATGTCCTTCTACCTTGTTCCCTGTCCTTACACGCCTGCATTCTTGCCTCTGTGTCTGGTAGTTTACTTCTCAATGCCCTTTTTAAATTCTAACTTTTGATGTGTTGATTTTGCCTCCTTTATTTTATACATTTAATTACGATTTTGAGGACATTCTGTTTTTAGTCTTGGTGATTTCCCACCAGAATTTCTAAACTTAAATTCATCTTCTTAGCCACCCAAATCAAATATATATTTTTTTCATTCTCTTTTATAGAAAATGAGCAGTACTGGCTCCCTCCCCCCCTCCCCCCCCCCCCCCCCCCCCCCCCCGGCTCCATTTTTCCACTTTCCTGTTCTTTACTATTTCAGTCTAAGGATTAGATGCTACTCCTTTGCTTCCCTAAAGATTCTCTTGTGCGGGCGCCTGGGTGGCTCAGTTGGTTAAGCGACTGCCTTCGGCTCAGGTCATGATCCTGGAGTCCCGGGATCGAGTCCCGCATCGGGCTCCCTGCTCAGCAGGGAGTCTGCTTCTCCCTCTGACCCTCCCCCCTCTTGTGCTCTCTCTCTCTCATTCTCTCTCAGATAAATAAATAAAATATTAAAAAAAAAGATTCTCTCGTGCAAGACTTTCTGGTTTTATCTGCTGTAGTTTGCTCTTGTGCCAACAAGTGCACCAAGGAATTAGACCAGTGGTTCTCCAGCTCGTGTGTGTGTGTCAGAACCTCACCTGCAGGAGTCTGGTCCAATAGGTCTAGGGTAGGGCCTGAGAATTTACACTTCTAACAAGTTCCCAGGTGATCCAGGGATCCCACTTTGAGAACCTAACATTCATCTTGCAGTCAATCATCCTTCTCCCTTTGGTGCTTGGTGACTGCTGACAAATGTCTCCATGCTCTGCCTCTGTCATGGCATCTAGATCTTGTGACTTCACTGTCCCTGTGAGAAATCCTTTCTTGAATTCTGGAGTTATTTATTGTTTTTAAGTTTTTATTATTCATTTAAGTCTTCTCTATACCCGGCGTGGGGCTCAAACTCACAACCCTGAGATCAAGAATCACATGGCGCTCCAACTGAGCCAGCCATGCGCCCCAGAATTCTGGAGTTATTTTTTGAAAACTTCATGCAGAAAAGACCAAAGACCAGCAGATTTTCCAAGCCTTCTTGTAGCTGCCTTCGCTGCTAAGGATGTGGCTGTGAGCAGCATTCTTGGGTACATTGTTTTCCTTGCAGGTTTCTGGAGGGATTGATCATTCTCCTCCATTGGTGGGAGATATCTGCAGTTTGTCAGATTGAAGTCTATTGCAAGAAACTCAGATTTTTTCCCCTCCTCTACTTGGAAGTATATAGGATTAGGAATTTTTCTTTTCTTTCTTTTTTTTTTAATGTCGAAACCCAGCGTGGGGCTTGAACTCACAACACCAAGATCAAGAGTCACATGCTCTGGGACGCCTGGGTGGCTCAGTCGGTTAAGGCGTCTGCCTTCAGCTCAGGTCATGATCCCACAGTTTTGGGATCGAGTCCCACGTTGGGCTCCCTGCTCAGCGGGGAGCCTTCTTCTTCCTCAGCCTGCCGCTTCCCCTGCTTGTGCTCTTTCTCTCTCTCTCTGAGAAATAAATAAATAAAATCTTAAAAAAAAAAAAAAAAGAGTCTCATGCTCTAGTGACTGAGCCAGCCAGGCGCCCCAGGATTAGGAATTTTTTTTTCCTCTTGAAGCTTGAATTTGCGACAAGCAATGTCTTGAAGTTGATCCTTAATTTTGCCTGGAACACAGTCAATCCGCAGTATAATGGCTTCTGCCCAGTGCCTTAAATAATTTCGGGGTAAATTTTTCTCCTGTGTAAGTCTGATTTGTCATGTGGAAGCAGTGCTCTGAGGGGTACAGAACTTTCAGTGTTCTCAACTGCAAAGATGGCAATGCTTTCTTGCCACCATGCCTTTGTCTGGGCTGTTCCTTCTGCCTGGAGCTCCCTTCCTCCCTTCTCTGCCTGGAAAACTCATAAGCATCCTAAAGGTATCAGCTCAAATGGCGGTTTCTGTGGGGCTGGCCATGATTCGCTCAGAGTTGCACCCCTCCTTGGTCTGCCCAACCTGACCTGCATCATGCCCACCCCGTGGTGCTCCTCATTTTATTTTTGTGTCCCCAGTGCCTAGCCTGGTGTGTGGCACATGGTCACGATGGCAGCCACCATATGTTGGACACTTACTGTGTACCAGGCATTTTTTTAAATCCTCACAGTGTTCCCGTGAGGTTTGGGTACTCTTGTTATCCGCATGGAAAGATTAGCAAACAGCAGTCTCCTGGGGAACTAAAGTAATTTGTTGCTGGTGGAACAAGACTACAAACTCGGTCTGGCAGCTTCCAGACTGTGCTCTTGGGCACTTGGAGTTGTAGGCACTGGATACTTGCTGGGTGAGTTATGAATGAACAGGTGGCCGTGACAAATGCAGCTCCTACATACGGAAGCATTTGACAGGTGCTCTTTTGATGGGAGAAAGAACAGGGAGCATTCTAGGGCTGGGCTGAGCCTGGGAAGGCTGGGTGTGTGTGTGTGTGGGGGGGGCGCAGGGCAGGCTAAGCGTATGCCCAGAGCCACAATATGGAAGGCAGACAGACTTTATCTCTCTACTTCTTTGTCTTGTGACCCAGCACCTGGTACCTGGGAAAGGCTGTTCTCAAGTAATGATGAAAACCCTCCAGTAGTAATGGCCTGTTCTCCCCCCGCCACCCCCATCCTCCTTTCAGCCTCGGCTTTCATCATAGCCATGCTCCTGGCCAGCCTCAACAGCTGCTGCAACCCTTGGATCTACATGCTCTTCACCGGCCACCTCTTCCACGAACTTGTACAACGCTTCCTCTGCTGCTCCTCCGGCTTCCTGAAGGGCAACCGGCCGGGAGAGACCAGCGTCAGCAAAAAGAGCAACTCATCTACCTTTGTCCTGAGCTGCCACAGCTCCAGCCAGAGGAGCTGCTCGCAGCCATCCACAGTGTGACTGGGCTGGGCCAGGACTGCCTCCCGTGGCTCAGTTTGTGCCGACGTAGACAGTCCGCCTCTTGGTGGCCGTGTGCTTGTGTGTATAAGGTACCTTTCAGTTTGCACCCTTCCACACCTTGGGGTAGCTTGAGTGGGGTGGGAAATTCTGGCATGGGTTGGGAAGTAGTCTCTGTAGTGGAAGATGATGGGATGACTCAGCCATCAGACAGTTCCTGGGTCTCCCCTAACTTCGCACAGGTGTTTATATACACTGCCACCTCTGGCTGGTGGATGGGTTGTTTTTTTTCTCCTGGACCTGTCATTTCACTCCAGTATCTTTTTAGTCCTTTTCTCTGGGGTCTTGTGAAAGCTGGTGAGTATAGGATAGGTGTGTGGAAGCTTACTGTTCTGAGCTCAGAATAAGGAACGGGAGTGGGAGCTCAGATGTGGAGGCTGGTGCTAATAGCCTCCTGACTTCAGAGTGCTTTTACTTTTGCATGGAACCATCCTAGCATCCTTGGGCACCAGCATGTCCGAAGGTGGCCCTAGGAACAGGGGATTCCCTTATGAAACCATTTGGTATAGGCAGTCGATTAAAACTTCAGTTAAAAATATTTAAGAAGCTAATATTTACATGAAACAATTAGGAAAGAAAAAGAAACAGAAGGCATCCAGATTGGAAAAGAAGAAGTAAAACTCTTTGCAGATGGCATGATTTTGTAGGTAGACAATTCTAAGGAGTTCATGTACATGTACAAACCCATTAGAACGAATAAATGAATTCATCAGGGTTTCAGGGTACAAGGTCAATATGCAAAGACCAGTTGTATTTCTTTATACTAGCAATTCATGATATGAAAATGAAATTAAGAAATAATCCCATTTATACTGGTATAAGAAAGAATAAAATAGGAATAAATTTAACAAAAGAAGTACAAGACTCATACCCTGACAACTACAAAATATCATTGAAAGAAACTGAAGAAGACATCCTATGTTCATGGGTCAGAGACTTAAATATTATTAAGATGACAGTACTGTCCAAAATGACCTACAGATTCAATGCATTCTCTTAGCAAAATCCTAGTTGGCCTCTTTGCACAAATTGATAAGCTGATCCTAAAATTCATACAGAAATGCAAGGAACCCAGAATAGCCAAATGATCCTTTGAAAAGAAGAACAAAGTTGGTGGATTCACAATTCCTGGTTTCAAAATTTACTACAAATCTTCAGTAATCAAGAGAGTGTGGTACTGGCATAATGATAGACATGTAGATCAATGGAATACATGAATAGATCAATGGAATAGAATGGAGAGTGCAGTTATAAACCTTCACATTTATGGCCAATTGAATTTTGACAAGCGTGGCAAAAGAATTCAGTAGGGGAGACAGTCTGCTCAACAAATGGTGCTGGGAAAACTGGATATCCACATGCAAAAGGATGAAGTTGGTGAAGGGAATTAAGAGGTACAAACTTCCAGTTATGAAACAAGTCACAGTGATGAAAAGTACAGCACAGGGAATATAGTCAATGACATTGTAATAGTATTGTATGTGACTACACTTACTGTGGTGAGTACTGAGTAATGCATAGAATTGTTGGAATTCCATGTTGTACACCTGAAACTAATATAGCATTGTATGTCAACTATACTTCAATAAAAAAAAAAAAAAAAGAATGAAGCTGGACTCCTACCTCACACTGTGTATAAAAATAAACTCAAAATGCTTCAAGCCCTAAACGTAAGAGCTAAAACTATAAAACTCTTAGAAGAAAACATAGGCATAAATCTTTGTGACCTTGGATTAGGCAATGATTTCTTAGATATGATACCCAAAAGCACAAGCAAAGGAAAAATAGATAAATTAACCTCATCAAAAATGGGGTATAGAATTTTTTTGCTTGAAAGGACACTGTCAAAAAAGTGAAAAGACACCTCAAAGAATGGAAGAAAATATTTGCAAATCATACTCCTATCCAGAATATATCAAGCACTCTCACCACTTAACAATAAAAAGACAAATAAGCCAGTTTTTTTTTAAAGGGGCAAAATATTTTAATAAACAGATAAATAGACATATATTTATATCCTCTCCAAGGAAGACATAAAAATGGCCAACAAGCCCAAGAAAAGATGCTCAATATTATTATTCATTAGGAAAATGCATATTCAAGCCACAGCAAAATGCCACTTCACACTCACTAAGATGGCCGTCATCAAAAAGATGGGCGCTGACAGGTGCCGGCAAGGGTAGAGAGTCAATGGAACTCTCCTCCATCGCTTGTGGGAATAGAAAATGGTCCAGCCACTTGGAAAATACTTTGGCTGTGCCTCAAAAAGTTAAACATAGAATGACCATATGAGCCAGAAATGCCACTCCTGGGTGTTTACTCAAGAGAAATGAAAGCATACACAAGTACAAGAACTTGTACATAAATGTTCATGGCACCATCAGTTGTAATAGCCCAAAGTGGAAATTACCCAGATGCCTATCAACAGATGAATGGGTAAATAATGGTCTCTGTGTACAGTGGCATAGTATCTGGCTATAAAAAGGAATGAAATCCTGGCACATGCTACAACATGGATGACCCTTGAAAACGATGCCAAATGGGAGAAGCCATTGCAGAAAGCCACATACTGTATGGTTCCATTTTTGTGACATGTCCAGAATAGGCAAATCTATAGAGAAAGAGGACCGTGCTGGCCAGGGGCTGCAGGCTGAGCTGAATGGAGAGTGAATGCGAATAGATGCCAGGTTATATTTGGGGCGGGGGTGATGACAATTTTCTAGAATTAGTGATGATGGTAGGTGAGGTTTTAGAATATGCTAAAACCACTGAATTGAACATGTGAAAGAAGTTAACAACAAAAAAATTCACCAACCAAATTCAGTTATCCAGAATAACCAACCAAATAACCAACCAAATTCAGAGGTGGCCAGCTGGAAGGAGGAATTCCTTAGAATCTCCCTGAGCTTGTTTCTCTCTGTGACTCACCATTTAGGAGGAATAGTTACTCAGTTTTTCTGCAAGAGTTGATGTTTCCAGTTTGGACGAAGGTGCCACTGGTGGTAATCCCCCCATCCTTCTCTAGGAAAGGCATAAGTGAAGTCTTGTGGCTGCACACTGTTGTGTTTTATTTACAAGAGCAATTCACCAAGGGTCTCAAAGGTTTTACTTACCTGGTAAACACGTTCTCACGTGTCCTCTCAGCCTTTAGGAAGGATATGACCGTGCCCAAGAACTACCTTTGGTTGTTAAATACAGGATGTTCTAGATCAGAGGTTTCTTGATGGGGACTGGCCAGCTCATTAGTACTCTGGGGCACTTTTAAAAAAAAATTTTTTTTTACATATTTTTTGGACTGTAATACAAACAGGAGCACTTCCGCAAAGCCATAGATTCACTCTCTATATACACTGTCCTCTCCTCCCTGCACACTGCGTTATGCACACATGTACACACGCACACATTTATGCACATGGTCTAGATGTTCAAGGAGAAGAGAGGCATGCACTGAAACTCCAGTACTCAGATTCTTACTGTTTAGTACAAGATCTTCAGTACTAACTGGACACTGAAGACTGTATTGTTTTTAGACCCAGAGACAGTGTTGCTGTGACATGTCCCAAGAGTGTCAACACCAGTCAGTCCCTGCTCTTTGGGAAGCTAACGGGTTGCTGATTGGGGGTCTTCGTGGCCATGCTTGGGACCACTGGGGCACTCTGGGTGCACATGCAGCCATGGTGGGTTCTGTTGGCATTTGAGCCTCCCTGCTCACCAGCCAGAGATGCCCTCTCCTCTGCTGTTCCCAGGAAAGTTGCTGCCCTAGCAGCTAACAGAAGCCACTGGGGATCAAGGGGATTGAAAAATCCACAGATTTTTCTGACTAGGGGCACAACCTTCTTGAGCACCCTGGAGATGCAAGGTTCTTGGGCACTAGAACCGGCAAATCAGTGGCACTGGATTTCAGCAGCACCCGTGGCCCTATGCCCCTCCCCCCCCAATCTTGTGCTGGAGAATATCTTCATCGTCTCAGTCTTTCTCTAACCGAGCCTGGAAGCATGAGTGCGGGGTCCTGATCACTGTCTGGAGCCGGTTGTTTCTGTCCTCCTGCCCCAAACCCCACGCCCGAGGTCTGCGTACCATCTTCTCCCACAGTGTCAGACCTGTTGGCAAAACAAACGCATGGCTGGACATGCCAGTCAGTTGGAACGTGTAGGTTTTCTTCTGGAACGTTTCATTATTCCAATGGTCAAAAGTGAAAGGTGAACACTTGAAGACTCCGAGCCTTATTTCTTTTGGCCCTGAAAAAAATAATCTCTCACACAGTTTGTGCTCCTCTGGGGATGGATCTGTGGGTTACAACTGCAGGGGGCTGCCTTTTACAAAGATCCTGGTTTCAAAGTCCTTAACCTTTTCTATTCAATTGCAATGAAACACCACCAAATGCAAAATGTGGATTCCTCAGTTTTGTTCTACTGTGGTGATTCTTGTGGTACCCTCGTGGACTGTGCCTGTCAGTGAATGGTGTGGCCAATACCAAGATGTCTGCTTCATCAACTGCTTCATAAAAGGCGTGCTGAATAAACAATTTTTTTTCATACGTTGCTTTGCCCTCTTTCTCCCTCCCTAAAACAGTGATCGTGTCTGGTGGCTTGCGGACTTGGATTCCCCTGTAGGATGGCAGAATTTTCTACCTGATTATGGCAGAAGTACACATGGGGTGTGGTGGGGGTGTGGGGGGGTCCTGGTCCTATGGTCTTCAGTCACTATTTGTCAGAATTCCATCAAAAAAAAAAAAGGCTCTAAGACCCAGGCACGGACCTCTTGTATATGACCTAGCCACACCCACTGTGTGCCACCGTCTGACTCTGGAGATGATAGGATTCTAGATTGTCACCTCGAAGGGACACTAACACGTATTTCTTCCAGTGAGATCAGGGGGCCACCTGCAGAACCACAGATAGGTTCACGTTCATTCCTGGGTTCCATGGACTCACACTCTGGAGCTGCATTTTGTCCAAGAGTCCCAGATGAGCCGAATGTAGCATATGAGAGAGAGCGGAACTCTACCCCGCCTCCTCCTCCGGCCTGTTCCCATTACGCCCCCAGTGTGCTGTTCTTCCTGCTACTTCTCCAGGAGATTCCTGGAAGAAACAGAACTTCTCGGATATACATGCATCTTAACTGTGTGCCCTTTCTCCAGTTCTGTGAACTTCACGGGTAATCGAGCACCTGCTATCGTCTGCCTCTAGCGAAAGAGAGCAAGCTTCAAAAATTGGAGCTGTAGTCAAATCAGGTTATAGAACGTGTCGAGGTGGTGAAACATCTCTGCACAACCCAAGATTCCAAGTCTGAAGCTGATGGCCTAATGCCTTCAAGAGATGTTTGGAAGGGCAGCCCCCTTCGAGGAGGATGTAAGTAATACTGACTCTAAACCTTTTCAGCAGGAGGAGCCTGGGCTCACTGAATCCACCGGAAAACGTGAAGAGCCCCAGCACAGGGCAAAGAGTGGACAGGAGCTGCTGTACTCCAGTGCTGGCCTGCTTGGGTGTCTTTTTGGCAAGTCCAGAGCTGACCTCTCTGGGCTGTAACTACCCCACCTAGAAAAAACTAAGGGATGACTGCTGAAGTGTTTGGTAGTAAAAATATGGATATCTGCAGCTTATTTGAAAATGCATAAAAAAGAAACATGCACAAAGAAAGCTGAGGCTGGTGGATGGAGAGAGCTGTGACAAAGTAGGAGCTGTAAAATGTTCATTGTCAAACCTAGATGGTGTGCAAACCTTTCAACTTTCCTCTGTGTTTGAAAATGGCATAATAAGATACTAGAAAAAGCAAAAATGAGTAAAATTTTAGGGCTGAGATGGACATTAGGGATCGCTTTATGGATGATAAAATTGAGACCAGAGAAGGCAGCTAGGAGGAGAGACAGGACTGGAACCGAGGCTGCCTGTGCCCTGTCTCCTTATCTGCTCCACCAGACTGTTCCCCAACACCCCTTGGGCTCATGGCCAGGCATCAGTGAGCTGATGCCTCTGAAAACCTGCTGTGGAACCATCATTTTATGAGACTTAAATGGGTGTTACATGGGGGGAAACAAAGGGCAAGTGGGATTGGGAGACACTGGCCTGAATACTTTTCTTCACTGCAGGACTTGTCAGAGCCTTTAATGTGCTGATGTCTATTGAAAAATCCCTGAGAGAATTATAGAGCATTTTCTAAACAAATGTAATCACAAAAGCCCCCCTCTTTTTTTTCTGAGGACTAAGTTCTGGATAACAATCTTGGGAAAAATATCTCTGAAGAATGTAAGATTGCTGGTTTTCGCCCCCCAGTGGGGTTAGGTGAGGAGGAGGTGGGGATATGCCCCTGCTATTGTTTTTTATGTCCATAGTGAGTCCACACATTCACAAATTGGACCTTATGCCCTCATCACATTTCTGAAGGCTGAAGGGGTGCATGTGCTAAGAGGCAGGGCCAGGGGCTTGGGGTCTGGTGAGCCAAAGGGGAGGTTCTGAGAGTTTTGAACTCAGGCCCTGCCCTCGGTGGTGCCCAGGGAGGGACTCCCGCCCCTTCCAGCCCAAGGGCCATTTTCTTCTGTTGGTGACCACTGGCTGGCCTGGAGCAACAGAACCCAATGGGAAATAATCTCCCAAGGAACATCGGGGAGCAGATAGCCAGCAAATAAGAAGAAGCCCAAGAGGAACCCAGCTCTGTTCTGGCTCTTGAATTTGGCCAAGAGGAGGGCCAACCATCTTGCCCCGCTTGTTTCTCAGGGCAGCAAATTGTATTTTTGGAGCTCATCGGGACACGTACCTACCTTCTGGACACACACAAAACACAGTGTTCCCCAAATGCAGCCGAAACCCTTTATTGGAGCCACCCTCCTAATGCCAAGAGTCACTGGTAGCTTTCCCAGGTGGCGTGCATGGACAGGTTGACCCCGGGTGGGGACTGAGTGCTGGTTTATGCCGTTACAGTACAGGTGAATGCAAAGACTTGCAGTAGCTGCCTCTTAGCAAATTCTCTTTCCTCCTGCCCGGTCGCGGGGGCATCGAGGTGGGGTAGGGGGCAGGCTGAAGGGCCACTGTGCTTCTGTGGCAGGGCTGTCTTTTCTTTCTGGCTTCCCTAAACTGTGTGCTTCCATCTTGGGGGGGAAATAGCAGTCCTTAAAGAGAAAGCGCTCGCCGGCAGGCCCGCCGAGAACTACCGTGGGGCCAGCCTGGCCTGACTCCCCCTGCCCGGCCACCCACATCACCCCCACCTGGCCTTACACTTCCTTCCGGAGCATCACCTTGATGTTGCTGCAAATCTGGCCCAGGGCAGCAAAGAGCGGGTTACAGAAGGTGCGGATGCAGAGGGAGTAGATGTGGCTGATGCACTGGATCTCGATCAGGTAGCTCTTAATGCACGGCACCACTGCCCAGATGTGGCAGAAGGAGATGCAGGCGAACAGGAAGCCCCAGAGCAGGGCCAGCGGGACTCCCAGCAGTGTGGACAGCAGGCGGTAGCACCAGTACTTGGAGACCGTGAAGGTGGTGTAGCTCACCTTCCACACACCGTCGAAGCTGTAGGTGCCCACGGGCTCTGCGATCACATCTTCAAAATCCACCTGGGGGGTGGGAAGGGCAATCTTTCGGTCACAACATCCACCCACTTCCTTCCACCCACTTCCTACGCTTCCGTGTGCCGGCGGCAGAACGCTCTGGAGGGCTGGTTGCACCTGCTGGCGGGGCCGCCCTGCCGGGGATCCTGACTCAGCACGGCCGGGGTGAGGCCTGACACTGCATTTCTGACAAGCTCCCAGGAGATATCAGTGATGCCCAGGAGCAGTGAGGCACGGAGCTGGGCCCACGCCCTCATCTTATGGGTGGATAAACAGGCCCTGGGGAGTTACGTGACTTGCTTAAAGCCACCAGGACGTGTGAGGCATGGTTCTTAAATTCTCTGATTTTGTGATCCTAGAGAGTTGGACAGTCCTGGTCATCCTGGGGGTAAGGAGCAGACATCTAGCTAGGCTGGTCCCTGAAGGGAGCCAGGTGGAGGGAGGGGTGAGGGTTGGAGAAACATATTGGGCACAGCTAGGACCTCATGGGATGGACAGTGTGCGCTCTCGGGGTGATGCAGGTGCCTCCAGAAGGCCAAGGGCAAGCCCAGCATGGCCAGAGTGAGGCGGGAGGGGCCTGGCCAGACAGTCACTGTGATGAGCAGTCTCTGAAGGCTTTTGTGCAGGGACTGGCTTGACTCGATCAGAGTTGTTTTTTGTTTTGTTTTGTTTTTTTTAATTGAGGTATAATTGATAAATAACATTGTATTAGTTTCACCATAATGATTCGGTATTTGTATATTTGGGAAATGATCACCACACTAAGTGTAGTTAACACCCATCACCATACAGAGCTCTAATTTTTGTGTGTGTTGAGAACTTTTAGGATCTCCTCTCTTAGCACCTTTCATATATGCCGCACGGTATGGTGAAGCATAGCCACCATGCTCTAACTTACAGCCCCGGGACTCATTATTTTATCACTGGAGGTTTGTTCCTTTTGACCCCCTTCGCTCACCACCCGCCCCGGCCTCCGGCAACCACCAGCCTGTTGTCTGCAATCTGATCTGGATTTTGCGTAGCTGGCTGGGCCGGTGGTGGTTGGAAGAGAGGACGCAGGTGGGGTCCAGTGGGGAGCCGTGGCAATATGCCAGGCGGGACCCGCTGCCAGGCTGGTTTGGGGTAATGGCGGTGGGTTAGAGAGAGGCACACAGGTCTGAGAGCTATTTTAGGATCTGGCATGTGGTGAAGTGAGGGCCATGCCGTCCTGGCTTGTAAAGGTGTCTGGTGCCAAGTCAGGCTGAGCAGGCCCGAAGCACCTCACCCTAGTCCCACGGCGACCTCAGACTTTCCTCTCCCTGCTGCCTACCCCAGCCCACCTTGCAGCTAGAAGGTGCACGGGCGCTCAGAGAATCCGGTTCACACTTTCCACTGTGCTGAGGCCCCATTTGGAAAGTGGGAAAAAATAATCAGTAAACTTGAAAAAAAAAAAAAAGTACTTTCAGCGAAGTCATTTAACTAAATTTTCTTGAGTCCCCGTTATGCATTAAACACTATCATAGCTCATGTGCGATGTCCTCTCGCATCCCTAAGCTTTAGCTGTCCTGTCTGTGAAATGGGGACATGATCATCTTTCATGCTCCTGGGCCATTTGAATAAAAGCTGGCTGAATGAAGTCTCAAACTCATCAGACTGAGGGTGGAGGGGTCACCTGTGGGGCCTGGGGGTGGGAGGCCAGAGCTCAAACATCAGCTTTCTAGGCGATCCTCTCATCTGGGCACAGAATTACTATTCAAATTGCTTTCCATTACAAAATGACATAGCCACATTGCAGAAAATTCAGGAAATAGTAAAAGGAAAACAAAAGCATCTCCAATTTGTATTTCTCTAGTACTAACAATGTCATTGCTTTGGTGCTTTTCTTTCCAGGGTGACTTTTTTGGTGGGGGGGAGTGGACACAACCCTGTTGTATGTATAATGGCGAGTCCTGTTTTTGTCACATGAGCATATTCTGAGCTCCCGTGCCGCACCTCAGATCCCTGGATCCCCCTGGAGACTGCAGAGGATGAGGTCTCACCCAGGGGCTGGTATGTTCATGGGGAGCAAAGTTGACAGCCTGGGATTTCAGGCTGCAGGTGACGTGAGAAGCTGACTCGGGGAGTCAGTAGGGCCTTCCAGGACCCCCTGTAAATCTCAGCCTCCAGCTCTCTCTGCTGGGGTTCAGCAGAGGTCATTTAACCTCTTAAAGGGGGGCCTGGATGGAAGGGCGAGGCTGGAGGGAAGAATATAAATATGGTCCTCATCTCAGAAAGATGGTACTTATTCCTGGAGGGCTTCTGGGAGGTGGTAGCAGGCTAGGAATTTGGTGGACTGTGACCTTTGGAGGCAGAGATGGAAAACGGGTGTGCTGGATATTTGGAAAAGAAGGCCCAAGTTGGTTGAGGGGCATCTCATGGCTTTGGACAGTGGATGGAAAGGACTGGCATTTTCTTTATTTGGTTTATACGGGGCAAAAATTCAGAATTGTTGTTTCTCGGGGGAGCTTTCAAATCTCAGAAGCTGGGGAGGATAGGCCTGGGCTACCATTCCAACCCTGACCTAGGTCCACCCAGAATGATTATCGAGGTTCAGTTAGATTCCCTAGGGCCTGGGTCCTGTCCATTGCGGTGTTCTGACCTCTGTAGCCTGCCCCTCCTCCATCATGGTCCTGCCCCAGCCTCAGGCCTCTTAGCACCCTGGCTGGCTTCTGGTGCATGGGGCAGCCCCAGGAACTTTGCCAGCAGGAGGAGATATTGTCCCAGCAGGCACTTCCTCCTTCCTTCGCTCTCCCACTCGGTGCCTGTGGCCTCCCTATCCTACCCTTGGCCGTTCCTTAGGATGGTGCCTCCGCTACTCACAGGTGACCCAGGCCTGCCTCCTCACCTCACAAGAGGCAGACAGCCCAGAGGTGTGAGGCAGGGCACAGAGGTCTGGTCCTCGTTGACCAGAGAGACGTGCCCCAAGGCAGGGCTCTCGGCCCCTTCTTTCCAGCCACCCGCCCTGCCCCTCTGTAGCCCAGCCTGCTTTGTTCATTTAGTCTTGTGTATCCTGCCTTTCAACACATCTGATTATTTGAGTCTGGCCTCTGAGAGGTGGCAGCGTGGAAAAGAGCCCCGTCGAAAGTCACGCTCTGTAGACGAGTCCAGCTCTGCTACTGACTGGCTCTGTAACCTTTTCTGAGCTTTTCTGTGCCTCAGGTTCTTGGATTCATCTCATAAAGTTTGTTGGAGGATTCAATAAGTTAAGACATCTAAATACTCAGAACAGTGCCCAGCACAGAATACCGGGTCAATCACCGGTATTCTCTTCAAGAGGATGGTAGAGCCCCAAAAGTGGCTTGGCACACCAGTGACGTGCTGCTCTGATGAGTGACTTTGGCAGATGACTTACACCTCTGAGCTTCACTTGCTCATCTGTAAAATGGGTTTGCTATTTCTTACAACCTTGTTATGAGGAATTGAAATAATTCATCATCTGTTCACCCCCCCACCATCTATTCATCCGCCCATCCATCTCTCATCAATCTGTCATCCATCTATCCATCCATCCACCCACCCATCCAGCCATCCATGCATTGATCCATGGATCTCTCCATCCACCCATGGATATCCATGCATCCATCCTTCTATCCATTCAAACACAGATTCATTCAGCACCCGCTCTGTGCTAGGCATACCACCTCTTGGGCAATGCTCAGCATAGTACCTGGCACCTGGTAGGTGCTCAGTGACAGTAATTATGTGTTCAGTTGTTCTCACGTTCCTATGAAAATATATCTCAGAAAATCTGTTGACACCCCAGATCCTAAGTACAGTAACTCTGCAGCTTACCTAGTCATAATTGTGTGCGCGTGCACGCACACCTCCACCTGCGCTGGTAAGATGGGTGCAGGCCTCTTTTCCCTCATTTTCTGTGTACGGTAATAATCTCACTCCCTGGGACCTCTCTGTTGTGTCTTTTAACTATTACTTCTTTGCAGAAGATGTCGTGCTGCCATTTGAATTATTCCCTGTAACTGCCTTTGGGCACTGTGCATGGGGTGACTGCTCGTTTTCTGGGAATCAGAAAATGTGCTCTTGGGGGGATGGGCTGTGTGGGCAGGCCCAGCTGTTCCCCTAATTCGGGTTGAGCCTTGGGACAGCTTTGGTCACAGCGCCGACTTTGGGGAGGTATTTATAAGACCCGGCTCAGGGAGATCTTAGGCAGTCATGCCAGTGTATCAGAAGCACACAGTGACTTCATTTCTGAGTCCGTCTCTAAAGTGGAGGGGAGATGGCTTTTTCTGGGAGGGTGGTGGGGTGGGTGCTGGACCCATCGGCAGAACCTCGGGGCTTGGTGTGCAGTTGGAGGGAGGGTAGAGGGTGGGAAGGGTGAACGTGGCTGCCCATTCAGTTGGTGTCCCCTTCTCTGGCATATTTATTTTTGGAACAGTAGAGAGCCAGTTGATTAATCGGAACGAGACAGCACAGCCCCACAGGCTCCAAGAGGGTGGGGAAGGGTGCAGGGCAACAGGGCTGGGCTTTGCCGGAGGATTCGGGGGAGGCCAGCAGCCACCCCCGGTCAAAAATACCTCCCCAGATTCCTGTATGACTCAGTCCTTGGGCATCCTGGGCCCTGGACAATTCAGATAGAGTATCTGTGGGTGGGGAAACGGCTCTAGGCAGGAGGATGGACATCTGGTGCCAGTCTCTACTTGACCACTGAGTTGCTGTGTGATTTGGGGCATGGTGCTTTTCCTCTCTGGGCCTCTGGGGTTCTTTGTTTTGTTTTGTTTTGTTTTTTGTTTTGTTTGTTAGTTTATTTGTTTTTAAACTACACCAAGAGGATTGGGCCAAGAACCCTAGTGACTCAAAGTTCGATTTGGAGTCAGAACACCCAAGGGGAAGGTTTAGTTTTGCTGGTCTTAGTTTTCTTGCCTAGTACCTTGCTACTTAAAGGGTTGTCCAGAGCTGGTGCCCCTCTTCCCAACAAGGTATGGACAGAAGTTGAGAGTAAGTATTTAGAAATAGTCACAGAAATTTGAGCC